ACCTATATTACTCTCCTCGTTGATGCTCCACACTCCATTTTAGTATAGGTGGAGGAAATGCACTATAAGTTGGTTCGCCACTAAGTTGAAAGAAGAAGAAGAAGAAACCTCAACGCGGTATTTAAATGCAAAACTAAACTAGCCTACACTTTTCTTATATTCGAATGTGGATTGTTTTACACTGTGACAGCACTTTTTAAACGTTCAAAATGACAAAAAAAGTGAAAAAAAAAAAATCTGCATAGTAACATTGTGCATTGTAAAAACTAGTAACATTTCATCCTATTAAACTGCCGTCTGGCATGTCGTCAAGTGGCCTCACTCTTGCTCTCTAAATATTTCCCCTCCTCATTGTCATCCATATGCCCCCTGTCTGTCTTCACGTGCCCTCGAGTAGCAGGGCAGCGCGGCACGGCCTTTTCCTGCCAATCTCATTCATCCCGTTGACATCAGCGTGCCTTGTGCTAAAGGTCTCCGACTTCTATGAGGCTCCTCTGCGCATCACCTGCAGCTATGTGGCTGTTCCTGCGCAGTCACAGAGTGCCGATTAGCAGAGCGTTCATTAGCGCGATTAGCCGCGGACACAACAGACCCCTGACCCACAGCACAGTAGCATAATAAGGGCCTGGGTGGAAAAAGGGGGGGGGGGGGGGGTGCTTGATTTTTAAATGCTAATAGCCATCTGTTAGCACTAACAATCTAGCTAACTCAAAAGTTTCTTAATATGATGCCATTCTTTCATTCGTACAAGAGTAATATGCTTGTGAAGGACTTTTACATTGTTCTCCTTGCCTGTGGGGACACAAAGAGTCATTCTTACCTGACTCATGACTCCTACAGGGCTCTCACGGATCAGTGCTGATGCTAACGCTAACCTTGCCCAAGAAGACAAGAGAGATGTTATCCGCTGGCTTGTTAAGTGCTTGACAATAGTTTACAGTGGACAGTCCTGGTTTTTGGTGTCCTCTCAAGTTGGCCACATACTAACTATCAATGTTAAATTGAAGTAATACTGTTTGAATGCACTATATAACAGAGCCTGTACAAGTGTCAGGATTGTTTAATCATTCCAGAAAGTTACAATGCAGTCATTCCATATACGCATATTAACTGTATCACGTGGGTGAAAGTACACACCAATAGGCTATGAGTAGAAATTAATCGACTAAACTATTTTCAACAATTAAACTTGCAGATACACAAAGCACATACTTTGTGCTAACAATGAGCCAAAAATGCAAAATAATAAACCTAGTTAGAGTTAAGAGCAAAGATCCATTTACAAAAGTACAAACAGAAAATAACACTGCAAAGTTTAACAGCTGTTTTATATGTACAGTATATTGTTAAAAATAATAAATACAGGTTTATTTATAATACATTCTCATGTTTTATTTTTGTTGCTGTTCTGATATATTTGCAATGGTTACTTTTGACTATTTTTCACACTGTGATTTCAGTGGTTTATATTAAAGTTAGAGTCAGTTTGAAATGTATTATAATAATATGGAACTCACAACAATTTATAAACCAAAACATACAAACATTTATTATCCATTTTTTTTTAATTCATAGATTTCAATTATATTTTGAGTTATTTTGAACTAGAATATGCCTATAGTTTCCTTGCTCAACTAGATCCCTTAGAAGTGTGTATCAAGTGTGTAATTGCACGAGCCATTTTGTGAGTCTACGTGTGTGTTCAGTGCTTTCATTTTCATTATGCCATACAACAACATTTCACATCCATGTCTATCAAACTCCGAAAGGACAAAAAAGAGAAGGCCCCAGTCTGAGCAACTCATGCGTAATATCAAGTTTTCTGAAGTTATACATTTACGCATTTGGAAGATGCTTTTATCTAAAGAAACTTAAAGGCACTGAACGTCTACATTTTATCATTCATTCATGCATTCCCCATTTAGTGCCATGCTCTTCTGTTTAATCTACAGGACCTTTATGACTTAGAATATAATGCACGAGTCACTACTTTTAATTATGTTTTTGGAACTTGACAAGCGTGGTTGCTCAGAAGAGCTCAGAAGTGACCTTTCACGACCCACAAATATTAGATAGTTAGGGGAATCGCCACAAGCATGATATGCGTTTTATATTCAGCTTCAAAGTACCTGAAAAGCAGATGTTTTAGAAACAGAGTAGAAGCATATGGTACAGACTTCTAGAATGAGTGTTTGGAAATCTTGCTGCCAAATTAGAACTTACGACTCTCCCTTTTACCTCGGGAACATTCCACCCCCTCTGGCAGGGAAGTGTGCAGTGATGCGCTAATAGTTGGTGAACATATTTAAGTGTTCCCTCTCTTGGCTGAGCCACAGGCTGCATGTTCACCAGCTTGACTAAAATGACCACAGGCGCACCGCTCTCTCTCGTTTCATCCGCTTTTCTCTTTCACCCCATGCCTTCCCCACTGCCATAAACTACAACCCGTCAACCCAGTTTACCCTTTCAATCAGAAAAAAATGACACTTACGAGGAAATTGTTTACACGAGGCGTGAATGAATATTTGTGCATGAACCTCCAGTAAGCGCGATGAAAAGATAAGAGAATTATCTGGGTTTTTTATATTTTTTAAGGGGAAGTACTGTTCTACAACTAGTTTCTGCAACTTCTCATGTGTGTCTGCCTTCAAAGAAAACAGAACTCTTCTGTGTAATTCACTTTGATCTGGACTTGGTGTGAATGAAACTGACAGACGTCTGACGTCAGGCGAGTGGGATCAACTGATATCGAAATGTGTTTGATGGGAAAACATACCGGGGAATGCATATAAACATCAATGAATATGGCCTATGACCACCTTCCTGTTCTATAACAGTAAGTAAGTGGACAGATGATAAGCAAATGATGTGGCTAAAAGGTCAAATACAGGTTTTAACCTTTTTTGACCTTTAGTAATGGTTGCTGAATGAAGTGATACAATGGCTTGTCTAAACATGTATGCAAAAATCTAAATTGATATAAAAAAGAAAAACAATAGTAAAGCTATTGTAATTATACTATTATACTACAATCTATAAATAACTGCTATGGGATACAGTAAATTCTTAAAAAGAATGATATCTAGAATAGGAATTGAACTTTGTGGTGGTGGAATGAAGAGAGAGGAAGCCAACTTCCTGTGTAGCCATTTTGATTTGAAGATATCAAAGAAGTGAGACGGAAGCCACTGTTCTCTGTGTACATACCACATGGTTATGGTTGGATATGCATCTTTTTCTTGTCTTTTTTTTTTCTCTAGCCTCACACTTTCACTATGACTGGCTCATTCATGAACAAACATACCAGGCCTAATTTTGAAATGAAAAAAGACTTACTCATTATTATGGTAAACAATGGAATCATAATATGAGCTGCTTGTCTGTATCATTTATGATGATGCAAACAATAGGTCTAGCTACTTTTAAATTACAGTGCATTTAAGCCATGCGCACCTATAAATGTAACATATGAATTTTTATTTCTTGAAAATAGCATCATGTTTTGAGACTTCTAAAGAATGACCTCAACCCTGATCTCAACTGATGACACAAATAAAAGTCCACGCAGATCATTGTCAGTGAATCATTGTCATTCAGAAAAACTATTTAGAGGACAAGAGGAGCACTGCTAGTGAACAGAATATAGTTTCCTGACATTGTATGAGTTTAAATCGCCAGTTTAGATGTGCCACCTAAACTAGAGGAATATATTTAGAGCTTGACATTTAAAATCATCTGCACTTTCTTTGTGCGTAAAAGAGCTGCTTAAACATTCAGTGTAAACTTTTTTAGACTTTATTTCGAACGTGTAAAATAAATACAATAAAGAACGAATACACAAAACAGGACGATATAACACAATACAAAATAAGGAGTAGAAAGAAGCATATCCCTTCTCTACTGCTTATTGGGTAATAATAATCAATAATAATAATCATCAAATTAACTTCATAATTCTGTCATCTCAATCTTGTCTTAATTATTTACAATTCACTACACATATATATAGAAAATAAAATCATAAAGACAATAACTAAATAATGACAAATATTTAACTTTTTGTATATAGGTAGGCTACTAGTACTTCAAAGCTTATACTACCATGCATTTTTAACGCCGTGTTTTTCTCTAGACCACAAGAGAGTTTCTGTTTACTTGGCCATGGGAAACTTTTCTAAAAAAAAGTGCCTATGTAACTATTGCGGCCAGTTTTTGCGTCTTGTCTGTGGAAACAGAAATAGGAGCGCAGCCTCGAACGAATACACAAAACAGGACGATATAACACAATACAAAATAAGGAGTAGAAAGAAGCATATCCCTTCTCTACTGCTTATTGGGTAATAATAATCAATAATAATAATCATCAAATTAACTTCATAATTCTGTCATCTCAATCTTGTCTTAATTATTTACAATTCACTACACATATATATAGAAAATAAAATCATAAAGACAATAACTAAATAATCTGTAAGCTCTCCTAATGACAAATATTTAACTTTTTGTATATAGGTAGGCTACTAGTACTTCAAAGCTTATACTACCATGCATTTTTAACGCCGTGTTTTTCTCTAGACCACAAGAGAGTTTCTGTTTACTTGGCCATGGGAAACTTTTCTAAAAAAAAGTGCCTATGTAACTATTGCGGCCAGTTTTTGCGTCTTGTCTGTGGAAACAGAAATAGGAGCGCAGCCTCCCTTCAGCTTTGCACTCTCGCCTCTAGCGTTGTTTTCAATCTCAGCAGCGGTTCCCGGTAACGACGTCACCGCTCATCTGACAGCTCCAGAGCGGAACGAACTCTTGTCCAATCAGCGGCCGCGAGTCTCCAAGCCACGCCCCCGGGTCGCGGAGTATAAAGCGCTTCGAGGCGCACTTTCTCGTGAGATCGAGTGCGCACCGAGACTGAAGGCTCCGCGTTCGACTGTTCGTAAATAACTGTCCCGGGACGCAACTTTTTGGACATCAGCTGTCAAGGGAAAACACCTGTCGACTTGGTACAGTAAAGTTGTTCAAACTATTTTGGAAGTTTCTTTTCTCGCTTTGAAATCTTTTTTGACATCTTCATGTAATATTACGGAGAGAACCAGATTTGCGGACAGTAAAGTGTACAGTCAACTCAAAAGCCTCCAACCTAATTGCTATTCACATGTCAACAAAAATGGAGCAACCGTTTTATCATGACGACTCGTTTCTTTCTGCTTATGGTCATCCAGACGCTGCCCTGCACGACTACAAGCTCCTAAAGCAGAACATGAGCGTGGGCTTCGCCGAACCTTACCGGAACCTCAAGTCCCTGCGCTCCGAAAGCGACTTCTACACCGGAGACGTGGGCTCTCTGAAACTCGCCTCTCCGGAGCTGGAGAGACTCATCATCCAGAACGGTAACGGTGTCATCACATCACCCACTCCGGGGCAGTATTTCTACGGCAGGAGCACCACAGAAGAGCAGGAGGGCTTCGCGGACGGCTTCGTAAAAGCGCTGGACGAGCTCCACAAAATGAACCAGATGCCCCCGCCAAACGTCTCCATCGGAGCCGGCGGCGTGTCATCCTGCTCGGCAGCGTCGTCGGTCTTCGGCGCCTCCCTGCAACCGGAGAGCCCCGTGTACACCACCCTGAACAGCTGCAATCCCAACACTAACCTCACACCTGCAACCAACTACCCGACAGCCACCATCAGCTACCTGCCTCACCATCACCATCACCACCATCAACAGTACCATCACCACCAAGCCACGACGCACCCTCATCACTTCCAGCACCCGCTCCATCATCCGCAGCGGCTTGTCGCGCTCAAAGAGGAGCCACAGACCGTTCCCGATCTGCATAGCAGCGACGGCTCTCCTCCCATGTCCCCCATCGACATGGAGGACCAGGAGCGCTTCAAAGCGGAGCGCAAGAGGCTCCGCAACCGGCAGGCGGCCACCAAGTGCCGGCGACGGAAGCTGGAGCGCATCTCCAGGCTGGAGGACAAAGTCAAGGATCTCAAGTCGGATAACGCCGGACTGTCCAGCACCGCGTCCCTACTGAGGGAACAAGTCGCCCAGCTCAAGCAGAAGGTCATGACCCATGTGAGCAGCGGGTGCCAGCTGATGCTGCCGTCCAAGATCAAGTCGTTTTAGTACGAACTGCAATGACGCGGACACTGGCAAAATGGGAAACACTGGGAGCGCAGATCATGTTTGTGATGTTTTGATGCAAATGATACTATTGCAGCACTGAGTACGAGCGTTGTATATTTCTTAAGTGTTTTCTTGTAGAAAACTAGAGTGTTAAAGTTGTTTTCAAAAGCATCTTCAAGGTAGATGAATGGACAGTGGATGCACAGGGGAAACCTTTTCAGTTGGTTTTGTTTTTGAGTGCTGCCCTATGAAAACATTCCTGTAAGTTATTGATGTTGTGAGTCGGGTTGATCCAGACCTGTATTTCTGTTTGTTTTGTTTATGTTTTTTGTATATTTAAGTAAAAGCGTTGAAAATAATTCCACTGTTTGGGTTGTTCATTTCTGGCTCACTCTGTGCGGCTTTAAATTGACGTTGAAGACGTGCCCAAGTTGGCTTCTTCTTCCTGCTGACGCAAAGCCCATATATGGGCTGTTTTGGCGCATGTACGTCACTGAGGGTAGACTTGCGGGAACCCCCGCCCACGCTGCCGGTCAGGAAGTCCGCGCGCTTTCAAGTCTGACGCTCGAATGAATGAAGCGCGTGTGAATGAGTGAAAATTTAGCAACGCGGGATTTCCCCCGCGCGCAGAAACCTTCCCAAAACAGTTTCAGCGAAACGAAAACTAGAGATAAAAATACGAACACGCACGGGCATTTTCCAGGTACTTTGCACAAAATGGAGCCGTTGCAAGCATAAAAATAGAAAAACAGATCGCAGAAAATAACATCTAGACTTATAAACCAGAAGTGCCCGCAGTGACTTGATTTCCGGAAAATATAGCCTACCGTAGTTTTGATTAACTGTCCAGTACCAAAACCACAGACCCACGCATAAGACCTATATGATCGGATTTTATAACAGCCTTTATTCTTTCACAAGTAGCCAGTTTTCTTCATTTTAGTCAGCCCCAAAAGTTTTTCTGAGGGATTCTTTAGAACTGATACATGTAAACACAGCAAATTCTACCTGGGCATAAATAGTCCAGAGATGGTGACTTTATTAGATATTAGCCTACACATGAAAGGGATTAAATCCATATCTCATGTCAGGACATAATTCTACCCAAATGAGCACATTTGATTCAAGTAGCCTATATAAATCAAATCTAGTGTTTTGTAGGCTATTTACTTTCGTAATATCTTTAGGTTTTAGTGGACATTTTGTTTTATGAAAAAGGCGAAGCATCAAGCGTCGCCATCATATAGTTTAAAACATCATTTAGTTTAAAAACAAGATATTTATAGAATATCACCATTCAAATCGTAGCTCTATTTGCAGAATATAGTAACAGTTTTAAATTTAGCTTGATGGCACAAATATTTGTTAAGATGTTAAATATATAAAAATACGTTCAAAAGCAGGCCTATATAAAAAGACCCATAGGCCTATTGATTTCAGTCCCATTCTCAGCTAACAAAAATATGTTTTAAGAACATTTTTCCAACGTTCTCATTAGTACGAAAACCTACTTCTGAATTTTCTCGGAAAGTTTCGTGTTTTTTTTTTTTTTTAAATACTTTTATTCTTGGTTATACAGTAGGCTACAAACACCACAGGAACATTCTATTTGATCATTGTGCAAACATTATGGGAATGCTACTTTTGAATGTTCTCTGAAGTCATAGCATTCAAAAAGCGTTAGACAAACAGGAAAAAAAAAAAGGTTCCATGCATAAAGTATAAATAATGTTTTGAGAACGTTATTAAAGAACTATGAATGAGCACTAACGTTACTGGAAGAAGATGTTTTCGAGAACCTTGCCAAAACGTTCTCTAGAGTTAGCTCGTTTGGCATCAATCATTTGATGTTGAAAATAACACCATGATAACAATTCAGCAAAATCAATCAAATTCACTAGCTACTTCCAGATGATCACATATCAAATGCCTTGCTTTTTTGAGTGTTTTATCACCAGATTGTCACTATCAGATGAGCTGTAGGCTACATAACCCCGACAGCAGCAGCACATAACCTACACATTTGAGAGATCTCTGTCGTGAATACAAGATCTGCTTCATTTACATTAAAATCTGCCTTGAAATCACTTATATAGGCCTACCTAAATTAGTATTGCTCCGAGGGCTCATAAGAACAAGATGCTCCTGAGCTACTTCTCTCAAATATAATGAAATACTGCCATCTACCGGTCTGATTTGTCCAAATTTAAGACATGTTCCAGGTGTCCAGTCATTGGCTTACTGCGCATGCGCACATCAATATCGCATCTTTTTTCTCACGCTGAGCCACTTATATAGGCCTACCTAAATTAGTATTGCTCCGAGGGCTCATAAGAACAAGATGCTCCTGAGCTACTTCTCTCAAATATAATGAAATACTGCCATCTACCGGTCTGATTTGTCCAAATTTAAGACATGTTCCAGGTGTCCAGTCATTGGCTTACTGCGCATGCGCACATCAACATTGCATCCTTTTTCTCACGCTGAACATCTAATGTATTTGCATTACTGTAAGGGGTAGGTTTAGGGTTGGGTAGGTGTAGACGTTAATAAAACAATCTATGTAGAAAAATGTATTCATTGTTGGTTTCCAGCCGTAGCTGGATCCCTTCTAGCCACAACAGCGAATAACACATAATTACTGTTTTTGCATTACTGTAAGAGTAGGTTTAGGGTTGTGGTAGGTGTAGACGTTAAACCAGAATTTGACAGGTAGCCTACTGTTTTAACGGGAGGTAGCAAAATCAATTCAAGCTCTACCAAAATCATTTGTGGTAATGTCCATAACAGAGTTATTATATTTATTTAAAACTGAACTATACTAAAATTCGAAAAAATTCATTCATTGCTCACTTCAGACATTTCACATTTTGTTTAGTTTAACTTTAAGTACTAACTGAATATTCCAAATAAAAATGTATAAAACAATAACTAATACAAATCCTAAAATAAAATAAAAGTTACTAAAACTATAAAATTAAACGAAAATAGAAAATATCTAATTTAAATATGAATATATTATTGATACACATTTATAACACGGTGACCGGTCCATTATCAAATAAGCTTGCCTGGTCAATTACACTGGATTAATTGCAGCTGCACAAAGCGCTGGATTTATGTACAGTTCATATTATTGCAAAATAATTTTTACTAATAATATTTAGTAAAAACCTATTTAATATAGGAGCAGTAAAGCTGTGAAATCTTTTCTGGATGGATGAACCTATAGACAGACTCAATGTCAGAAACTACGCAACTTGTAATGAACCTGAAACACAACAACAGCGGAGTTATGTTGGTAAAAATAAGAGAACTGCACCATCACACAATAACAGCCCGTTTATTTCACAGATATTGATGATCACCAGATTGTTAAACAACTTGAAACAATTCAAAATGAATCAAATGTTCACTGAGTACTAAATATGTAATACCGATTAAATAAGCTGAAAACAACTACAGACATTTCAGTGCATGGGAGATGCTGACTGCAACAGCTTCTTCAGACAATGAAAAGGAAAAGAAATCTGTCTAACAAGTGCATTTAAACTGCAAAGAGTTTGTTACGTTGGCTTAAGACAACTTTTCAAGACTCTCAGGCTAAGGTTAAGTGCTCTAGCGTCCCACTGAACGGGAGCACGAGCCGGGAAATACAGCAGGACTGTTACTGCTTGGAGAAGAACTCCTTGCTCTTCTGCACGTCTGGAACAATAGTGTCACTTCCAGGTTTCCATCCAGCAGGACAAACTACGGAGAACAGACAGACACCTTATTATAAACCTCTGTGGAGACTGACACTGAATATTTTGGCATCACCTTCTGTGAACATCTCTTGGTCATTATATATATATATATATGCATGCTATCAGCAAAAGTTTGGGGTGGGTATGGTTTTTAAAAGAAGTCTCTTCTGCTCACCAAGGCTGCATTAATTGGATTTTTTTTAAAAATGCACAAATATTGTGAAATATTATTACTATTTAAAATTACTGCTTGGAGAAGAACTCCTTGCTCTTCTGCACGTCTGGAACAATAGTGTCACTTCCAGGTTTCCATCCAGCAGGACAAACTACGGAGAACAGACAGACACCTTATTATAAACCTCTGTGGAGACTGACACCGAATATTTTGGCATCACCTTCTGTGAACATCTCTTGGTCATATATATATATATATATATATATATGCTATCAGCAAAAGTTTGGGGTGGGTATGGTTTTTAAAAGAAGTCTCTTCTGCTCACCAAGGCTGCATTAATTTGATTAAAAAAAAAAAAAAAAAGCACAAATATTGTGAAATATTATTACCATTTAAAATTAAAATTTTCTATTTGAATATATTGCAAAATGTAACTTATTGCTGTGATCAAAGCTGAATTTTCAGCATCATTCCTCCAGTCTTCAGTGTCACATGATCCTTCAGAAATCATTCTAATATGCTGATCTGATGCTTGAGAAACATTATCATCAATGTTGAAAACAGTTGTGCTGCCTCATATTTTTGTGTAAACAATACACATTTTAGAATTCTTTAAAATTAAAAAAAAAAAGGAATAAATAGAAATAGAAGTTGTAATATAATTATACATTATATATAATTGGGGATTTCTTTACTGTCACTTTCAATTTCATGCACCCTTGCTGAACGAAAATATAACAAAACAAAAAAAATCTTGAGGACCCCAAACTGAAGGATGAGCCAATTGTTTTCTGTGGTAAATCAATGCGAGTATTGTGTAGTTACTCAACACCTCTGCATATGGACGGTCACTCTCTCATTACACATTCTGTGATTTCACAGTTACACACATCACTTCAGCCAGGATAAAGCAAAAAGTCACCATACTGACGCTCTCAAAAACACATGAATTTAATGGCACTTCAAACATGATGTCTCGAGTAGAAATCAAGTGTATAAAAGATAGTACAAGCCTGGGCTTAAAACCCTCAATTTGGAGGTACAGTATAACTGCGTGTTATGCAAGTAAACGGCTCTTCGTTGGCATCAGGACGCATCCGTTTACACTACAAATACAATGTGGTCACATGTTTTTGACCTCCTCCAAATGTGGGTTGAGTGATCGGATCACAAAACCTTCTCAAGACACTCAAGATAAACAGGACATTCAGAAAGAGCCCCATCTCACTCACCTTCTCCATATTTGTCGGTGTGCTGGAAGGCCTGCACCAGTCTCAGCGTCTCGTCCACCGAGCGGCCCACCGGCAGGTCATTGATGGTGATCTGCCTCAAGATGCCTTTATCGTCAATCACAAACAGACCTCTGTGGGAGCAGGACAAGAGACAGAAAACTCACTGTTTGCTCCGTTTACAATAAAATCTGTATGACTGCTCTTAAATTAGTTTTCAACATTAAAGGAATGTTTATCTGCAGTTTTATCGCTTTTATCTCAAGTTCAGTGAAAAAAAAGTCAGCCGGTCCCTTAGTTAAAGTAAAGGAATAATTAAAAGTATCCCCACTTTACTTCAAAAAGGATGACAATTTCATTTAAACAAATTCGCAACTCATACACACAGTGTATATATTTATTATGTATATATATATATATTTTTTAGCAAAAACCTATGGGGTAGGTGTCAATAAAATAAATTAATATTTTAATCAGCAAGGATGTATTAAATTGATCAAAAGTGACAGTGAAGACATTTATAATGTAAAAAAAAAAAAGATGACTTTTTTTTAAAAATGCTGGTTTTTGACATTTCTATTCATCAAAAAATATATTTTTTAAATAATATAATATAATACTGTGTCAAATGCTGAAGTTTGAAATCGGAACATTAATTCAAAATCATCGACTGAACATTTGATCTAGATTTCCAAGTTGCAATAAAATCTGCTTAAAGTTAATATTCTTCTCATAGTTCCTGTACCCTGCCCATGCTGCAGTACACGTGGATGTTATTGAGCACCCTTGATCATTAACTCCTGCTGCAATCGTGCACTGCAAGCAAGAGGGGGTGAGTAGCTGCAGTTTAACTGAACCAGTGCAAACATGAGCACATTGTCACAGACCTGTAGGCGATGCCTTCATCCTCTTTCAGGATGCCGTAATCGCGGGAGATGGACTGAGTCAGGTCAGCCACCAGCGGGATGTTCATGGAGCCGAGGCCACCCTGCTTCCTGGGAGTGTTGATCCTATCGGGACCAAGCCAACAGTGATGTCACAACAGGAATTTGATTTATCAAGCGTTTAGTTTAAAAGACATGGTTAAACCTCATGGTTATTTCATAATTAATTATTATTATTATTATTATATTTCCTGCTAGATGCTGAATAAATATATAGACCGGTTATGTGATATAAATTTACCATAATATAATTGTTCATAGCAATAGCACACTCCACTATTTTTTGACTTTCCACAATGTTTTTAAACAAAAAGCTAGTCAAATACATATGAAAGTTAATTTGCAAAAACCTATATGCGCCACTTTAAAGAAAAAAAAGAAAGAGCGGATTGCCGTGCATTATTCTCCACATATAGCATGATCTGAACCCTAAACACGTTGTGTCAAAAAACCCGGTTGTGTCCACTTTCAAGGCATCGCGACTATTCTCGAGTTCACGTTTTACTCATAGACTGTATAGGTTTTACTGCAGAAGCCGACAAGAGCCCTTGTTGTTTTTGAACAGAAGCCGATAAGTCCATTTTAGCGAATCAGCGCGCTGTATTCAGGTCAGGTGACAAGGCTACTTTCGACCCATACTCGAGTGCTAGCTGAGAGGAGCTTCGTCAAAGCTGACTAAAAGTGATCGAGGATGGATCATTTCGATGAACCCGTGATATCTTCAGGGCAAGAAAGGAAAATACAAGCTGAAACGTAACAGAAGCCGATAAGTCCATTTTAGCGAATCAGCGCGCTGTATTCAGGTCAGGTGACAAGGCTACTTTCACTTTGAAAAGACGTGCTAGCTGAGAGGAGCTTCGTCAAAGCTGACTAAAAGTGATCGAGGATGGATCATTTCGATGAACCCGTGATATCTTCAGGGCAAGAAAGGAAAATACAAGCTGAAACGTTTGACATGTGGCCAAGTATGGGGTGACCCATACTCGAAATCAGTGCTCTGCATTTATCCCATCCAAAGTACACACACACAGCAGAACACACACACACACACACACCATGAACACACACCCGGAGCAGTGGGCAGCCATTTATGCAGCGGCGCCCGGGGAGCAGTTGGGGGTTCGGTGCCTTGCTCAAGGGCACCTCAGTCGTGGTATTGAAGGTGGGAGAGAGTGCTGTACATTCACTCCCCCCCCACCTACAATCCCAAAACCTGCAACCTTTGGGTTACAAGTCCGACTCTCTAACCTTTAGGACACGACTGCAAAAGCAGCGCGTTACAACGGTGAGGGAAAAGCTCCGTGTAATCACATCCATACAGTTTATGATCACAACAACAACAAC